TTGGGGCGTTAAGCCCTGGAAAAGCACAGGCGTCTCCAGCAGGAAACGCAAGACCAACTGCCAGCCTGATTTGGGGAGGAAAAAGAAACAAGCGTCTTTTTAACAGTCACAAAAATGGATTTTAAAAAGCACAGCAGAAGGCCAGGAACAAAGCCTGGTGGCTGGCTTAGGAGCCCTGGAGGCGGGGTGGGGGTGGGGGACATTTGCAGGCAAGAGATTAACACCCAGAAAATAAAGAACAGGGCCCAGCCAGTAAGAGAAAGAGGTCAGGCTGGAGAAACCGAGAAAACCCCTACAGGGAGGAGTCCTGAGGCTTAGATGGGTGGAAGGGAAGGTGCCCTGCAAGCGCATCAGAGAACAGGGAGCCCGCCACGCGCCCATCCGCACAGAAGACAACAGGACTTCACCTTACCGCTTGTAACAACTACCCCAGGGTGCTGCCAAAGGGGGCAGGCACGGCGTGGCTGGTCCAGGGGGCCCGGGGCAGGACGCCACGCCGCCCTGGAGCCCACTCCGCCAGCCGCCCCGCACATGGCAGGGGGCGCTGAAAGCCGGGCACGTGGACTGCTCCCTTGGCCGTTCTGCCCCGTATGCTGCGGGCTCCCAGGTTGTTTATCTCACTCTCATCCAAGTTTATACAAAACCCTCTAGCCTGGGCTCTGATTCCCCGTGAAGAACGAGCTTTTGGCGGAAAACCGACGGGGAGGGGCTGGCCCTGGACGGTTCTGAGACAGTGGTGCTGATGCCCCCTGGCACCCCCGCCCCCTGGCACCCCCGCCCCCGAGCCCAAAGCCTGGAGGGGCTGCCTGTGCCCTGGCCCCAAGGGGCAGCCGCATCACTACCAGATCGTCAGATCCCTGGGAGAGCGGGACTGACACCCACCAGGCAGCGTCCTCAGGGGCAGGGCCCGCCCCACGCCCACAGAGCTCTGCAGAGGGGACAGTGGGGGTTCTGGCCCCCCAGCGTCACTGGCGGGACCCCCCACACCAGGAGCTGCATGGGAGTCAGGCTGCAGCTCCCACCTTTTAGTCCCTGGGTTGGGTGGGGGCCGCAGAGGCCGGAGAGGAGACCCCTGAGAGCCAGCCCACTCTGACCCCACAACCCTGGTGTCCCCTGTAAGGCTCTCAGCGGCCTCCTGGGGTTGGGGCTGGATCTGCCAGGGCAGCAGGGTGGGGGTGACCTTGTCAGGGCCCAGGGGGGTTGACGCCTCCCGCTTCTGTAATTCTTTAAGCATCTCAGGGTTCAAGGATGTGTGAACAAGCTCAGGGGCGGGCTCCTCCATCCCCGGGCATGCGGCTCGTGTCCTGAAAAGGCCGTGCTGCACAGGCGTGCCCACGGCTGCCAGGTCAGGGCCCGCATCCCTCCTCAGGATCCCACTTCTGGGCAGGAGGAAACGGGCTGCACGTAGGGCAGGAAGCTGCCCGAGGCCACATGCTGAGGGAGGCCCTGGCTCCTCCCGGCCAAAGGTCCAGTCCACCAGCCTGGGGGTCATGGTCCGGCCATGCTCAGTCCCGAGCTGCTGCCTCGGCAGGTCCCCTTCCCCCTCTGAGCTTCCGTATTTTCATCTATAAAATACAGGTCATCCCAAGTCACTGAGTGGTGTCCGACTCTTTGCAACCCCATGGACTGCGGCCCACCAGGTTCCTCTGTCCATGGAATTTTCCAGGCAGGAATACTGGAGTGGGTTGCCATTTCCTCCTCCACCCAAATCTTAGGGCTCTTCAGAAATGCCAGAGGCAGACTCTGTCCTGCTCCATGCTCTGTATTAAAGAGTGTGTTAAAATGCACACTCACATTTTAGAGTTTTTCTGAAAAAACAGCTCACAGTTACTGAGCCGCTACTGTTCAGTCGCTCAGTTGCGTCCGACTCTGACCCCATGGACCGCAGCACGCCAGGCCTCCCTGTCTTCCACTATCTCCTGGAGCTTGCTCAAACTCATGTCCGTCGAGTCGGTTATGCCATCCAGCCATCTCATCCTCTGTCGTCCCCTTCTCCTCCTGCCTTCAGTCTTTCCCAGCATCAGGGTCTTTACCAGTGAGTCAGCTCTTCTCATCAGGTGGCCAAAGTGTTGTAGCTTCAGTTTCAGCACCAGTCCCTCCAGTGAGTATTCAGGACCAATTTCCTGAGCCGTTACTATATGACAAGTTCTTTCATACATGGATTAACTGATTCTGTCCACAAAATGTAGGCATTATTATTTTCTCTATTCTACAGATGGGGAAGCCAAGGCAGACAGAAGTTCAATACCTTCCTAGCGGTGTCAGTATCAATGCTATAAATGGCCTCACAAAATGAGATGGGAAAGGTTCCCTCATTTTCTATTCTTTATACAGGTTTGTGCAAGGTCAGTGGTATTTCAACTGTTTAGAGAAATTCTTCAATGAAACCACTTGAACCTAGAAGTTTCTTTGTGCGAAGTTTTAAGTTTTGAATTAAATTTATTTGTTATAGGACTATCCAGAATTTTCTATTGATTCTAGTGTCAGTTTTGGTAAACTATTTACATTTCAAATGAATTTCATAAAGTTGCTCACACTATCCTCTCATTACCTTTGAAAAATGATTTGGCTGTGCCGGGTCTTGGTTGCGGCATCGGAACTCTTAGTTGCAGCATGTGGGATCTAGTTTCTTGACCAGTGATTGAACTGAGGCACCTCGATTTGGGAGCACAGAGTTTTAACCAGTGGAGAAGTCTCTTACCTTTTTAATGTTTGTTATATCTGCGGTTATGTCCTCTTTTTCATTCCTGACATCGGAATTTGTGTTTCCTTTTTTTTTATCCATTGTTTCCAGGGGTTTATCCATTGCATTCTTTTCAAAGCACCAACTTTTGGCTTGGTTGATTTTCCCTGAGTTTTGCTTTTTTCCCTACCAATTTCTGCTTTTATTTTTATTTCCTCTCACTTTGGGTTTAATTTGTTGTTCTTTTTCTAGCTTCTTGAATTGCAGCTTAGAGCATTAATTTTCAAGCTTTTTTCTAAAGCTATAAATTTTCCTCAAAGGACTGCTTTATCTGCCTTTCGCAGCATTTAATGTGCCATATTTTCACTACTGTTCATTTCAAATTATTCTACAACTTCTCCTGTGATTTACTATTTGGCTCATTGATGATTTACAAGTGTGACATTCAATTCCAAGTCCTTGGAGGCTTTCTGGTAGTTTTCCTGTTTTTGAGTTTTAATTTATTTCAGAGAGGACACACTTGTATAATTTCAGTCCTCTGAAATTTGTTGAGACTTCATGGCCCAGGACATGATCTATTTTGTTTAACATCCTATGTGCACATGGAAAGAACATGCGTTCACAGTTACTAGGTGCAGTGTTGTATACACGTGAATTCAGGCAAGTGGGTGCATCCTGTTGTTTGAACTGTGGGATGCTGACTTAAGATAGAGAAACAGGGATGTCCCTGGCTGTCCACTGGTTAGAACCACTCTTCCACAGCGTGCGTTCGATCCCTGACCTGGGAACTAAGAACCCACATGCCAAAAAAGAGAGAAATGGAACAGTGGGACAGAAAAGCACCCAGAACAGACCCTCACATATACAGTCACTTGGTTTATAATGGGACTGTTCTCCAGTTCAGTGGGAAGAAGATGGTCTTTGCAATAAACAATGATGGTCCACTGGACATCCATATGGAAAAGACGAGCTCTGACCCCTACCATAATATTCACAAGAATTAACCTGCAATCCATCACAGAAATAAATGTGAATGCTAAAACAATTAAGCTTCTAAAACAGGGGAGAATGTCCTAATGAAAAATCACTGAAGGTGAGAAAAGTGATACATTGGACGTCATGGAGAAAACTGTTCAACATACACAACAGCAAAGATGGCAGAAGATAATGGCAATAACTTCAATACAAAGCACACACAAATATCCATCTATCGATACAATGTCCAGCCATGTGTAAGACCAGGGACACAGCACCCAGAATATATAAAGAACCTCTAGGAATCAATAAGCTATCGAAGCCGGGTGTGAGCCCACGCGGCTGGGGCCCGCAGTAGGCTCTGTTCACCGGGCCAGGCGGGGACAGCTGCCGCCCCCAGGCCCTCCCAGAGCGCGCCCTAGGAACTAGCTCGGTCCTCCTTAAGTGAGGAGGCGGCGGGGAAGCTCCGGCCTCGGCTCCGCCCCGGGGTTGCCTTTCCCTTAGAAGGCAAAGCCCCAAGCCTCGCCTCTCGCCGGCGGAGAGTCGCGCGTCGCTGCCCGAGTTCCCCTCGCCCCCCGACGACGCCGCCAGAGCCCCGGGAGGGCCCGAGGCCCCGCGCACTCGGCGCTCCAGCCGGCTCGGCGTAGACTGGGCGGGCACCGGGGCGGGGCGCGCGGCCTCGCGGGTTTGAATGGAAGGATCCCGAGCGGCGGGGGCGGCGGCCCGCAGGTCCTGAAGCCAGCAGTCGTCCCCGGCCTCCGCGCCCGAGACATGCGGCGGGAGAGGTGAGCAGGCGGGCGGAGCCATGGGGACGGCGAGGCCGGGGACAGGCACCGAGGATCGCGAAGCGCGGAGGCGGGCGGCCCAGGACGCGGGGCCGGGCCGGGGTCCCGGCGGCCGCCGGCAAGGCTCAGGTCGGGCCGTGCCCACGCCTCCGTCGCTCGCGCACTAGTCTTCGCGCGCGGGTGCGGCGGCCCCGGATCAAATCGCCATTTCGCCGCTGTCCCTCCTATCCTCGGCGGCCGCGAGGATCCTTGTGGTTGAGCTTGGCATCTGAAAGAATGTGACTCCGCGCTTTTAAAGATCTGGAGCACGAACCGCAGCGCTCACCCGCAGCCGGCCGGAGCCCTGCCCCGGAGCCCAGCCCCGCCCGGCCTCCCGGTGCGCCCCGGCCCGGCGCTCGGCCACGAGCCCCGGAGAGCGCCGCGCCCCTTCCCCGCGCCCCGCTGCCCGCCCTCCGCGCGGCCGGCCTTCCCCTCCGCAGCCCGGCCGGCGCGACAGGGCGGGCCCGTCTGAGCGCCGTCTGCCCGCAGGTGCGGCGCCCCCCGCCCGCGTCCCCGCCATGGAGGTGCTGCGGCGCTCCTCGGTCTTCGCCGCCGAGATCATGGATGCCTTTGACCGCTCGCCCACCGACAAGGAGCTGGTGGCCCAGGCCAAGGCGCTCGGTCGTGAGTTCGTGCACGCGCGGCTGCTGCGCGCTGGCCTTTCCTGGAGCGCGCCCGAGCGCGCCGCGCCGGTCCCCGGCGGCCGCCTGGCTGAGGTGTGCGCCGTGCTACTGCGCCTGGGTGAGTGCGGCCTCAGCCGGCCGGCCTGCGGGATCCCCAGGCTACCCCTTCCAGCTAGTCCGGCGGACGCGCAGCGCCTCGGGTACAGCTGTCCTTGCACTGGCCGCCCAGAGGGTGGCCAGGCCTCTGTCTCTCCTCCCGGGTAGGGACGGGGCTGGTCCCGGTGCCCTGAGGGATCTATCGCGCAAGGCGGGCGGGGGTTTCTTCCAGCACCCTCCTCTCCTAGCTCGCCCTTCAGCTGGCCTGTGCACCCGCCAGACCTCCCCAGTCTGCCTGCTGAGCCCAGATTGCACACATCCTGGTCATAAAGAATAGAAAACTCCGGGAGGAATGATATTTTCATGGCTAAATTTCCAGAGTGACCCTTGTACTCAGCTGGGCACAAAAATCCTTTGTCGGACCACGTGTCCTGATGTTTGTTTTGGAAAATAGGTCCTCACAGTTACTGGCTGCAGTCCTGCGTGGGCTGCTCTTTTCTCTGGGTTTGGAAGCCTCCTTGGGCTCCTGTGGAAATTAGTGCCCAGGAGAGCAGAAACCATGTGAGGCTGGGCAGCTGCAAACCCCGACTGCATGGCCTGCTGTGTAGACATGGAGGGCAGTATTTGATTCTGGGGTTATCGGGCTTAACTCTTTCCGTCTTCTCCAAGGACCGCAGAGAGGGAGGGGACCCTCTCAGCTGACTCGTCAGCCATCTCGCCATGGAGACTGAGGTTGCCCAGTTCTACACCGCCTGGCGTGACGTTCCACGCGGGGAGTGTGCACTCAGGGGGGCGTGGGGGCACGGATGGCACCCTGACCCTGACTGGGTGGCTCTCCAGAGTGGGTTGAGAGACTGGCCCAGGACCCCGGGTTGGAGGGAGCACCCCGTGGAAGGGGATGCCTGCCTCTTCTCAGGCTGACACTCGTGTCTGCTGGCCCTTGTGTTCTGTGGACCCTGGGGGCAGGGCTGTGTAGACCTGGTCTGCCCAGAAGAATTGGCGTGGGGGCATTGCTGAGGGCTGCAGGAGGCTGGTGTCCCACCTGGGTCTTGGGGGAGGGGAGCATGTGGGGTTTGAGGTTTCAGCCAAAGGTCCAGAGTGCCTGTGCCCCCCTGAGGCCAGGGCCCAAACCGTTTCTTCCAGCTGGGCTGTAGGGACAAGCCTGGGCTGAACGTTCCAGAGGGTCCTGGAGAATTCGGTATCTTGGGCTGCTGAGAGGCCCCTGGAGTGGCTGGGAGGAAGTCCTTCCTCTGTCCTGCCCTGCCCTGCGGGCCTGCTCGCTCCCAGCTCCACAGCCTTGCCTGGAGCAGGGCCTCGGGGCCAGGGTCCTTGTTGTTTGAACTTGTCTGGAAAGCCCCACTGCAGGCTCCGCTAATCACTGTCCCTTCCAAACTGTGACCTTGGATCCAGGGGGCCTGGGATGCTTCCGGCCTGGCCTGGGGGAGCAGAGTCCAGCCAAGTGGGCCACGCTGGCCCTCCTTGGGGCCAGGCCTCAGGCCCCCCCCCCCCCCCCCGGCCCCAGCTGCTTTCATGGCCAGTCCCTGGGCTCAGCGTCTGCCAGACGGCCAAGGGGGCCCTGGAGGGAGGTAGCTTGGACCCCCAGTGTTATCACCCCCTTCTGCGGCCCTTGTGAGCTGCTCCATGTGAGCCCCCCCCCGCCCCTTGCCACGGCCTGGAGCCGTCCCCTGCCCCCAGCACCCCCAGGCCCTCCCCGGCACAGACGTCCAGCTCCGGGGAGCAGCAGCAAAAAGGAAGAGGCGGGGGCACGCCCCCGCAGCTGTTCTCTGGGGGCCAGTCGCCCCCCGGGCCTGTGTGTGGGAATGGCCGGCCAGGCCTGCCCTGGGCGTTTCCATGCCACCGCCCGTGGCTCCACCAGCCTGTCTCAGTCCCGCTCTGGCTTCAGATCTTCCTGAATTGGATGGAGTGCAGCTGGCCCCAGGGCCTACGCGGCGCCCTTATCACCCGGACCTCCAGTGGGAAGCATTTCCCTGTTTGCTTTGGCTGGAGAAGCGGCTGGGCTGGGGGACACCCAGTGCGTGGGCCATGAGGGGTTCCGGCGCGTCCCTGCAGACCCGGCGCAGATGGGGCCCTGCTAGGGTGTTCCTTCACCGCCGGGCATCCCCGCCGGGCACCAGGAGCCCAGGCCTGCCGCCTCCGGGCAGTGGCTCGGTCTCTGGTTTCCTGAACGACGCTGGGCCTGGAGAGGCTGCCCAACCGCCCCCCCACCCCGCCCCCGCTGAGGCAGCCATGAGCTGCCCACCTGTGTGGGGTCGCTGGCGCCCGCCCTGCCCGTGTTGGGGTTGGCCGCCCGCCTGGGCAGCGCAGCAGCTCGCTGTGTGCTGTGAGTCACCCAGCAGGCATGCCCGGGATTCCCACCCCACCGGCCCAGCTGGCTCTGCCCTGGGGCATGGGCGTGGCTGACTTGTCAGAGGGCAGGCCACAGCCAGGTCTGGGGTGCCCACAGCACCTCCCTGGCCTTGTCAGGGTGTCTGGGGACCCTGGGGGAGTTATCAAATGGGTGGACATGGGACAGGTTGGGGCTCAGGGATCGGGCTAGGGTCGGGACCCGCTCTGCGGCCGTGGGTTGGCCCCCTGACCCGTGGGACCACTCTGACCTGCCCCTGTGCCCGCGCAGCGGACGAGCTGGAGCTGATCCGGCCCAGCGTCTACCGCAACGTGGCCCGCCAGCTGAACCTCTCGCTGCAGTCGGAGACCGTGGTGACCGACGCCTTCCTGGCTGTGGCGACCCAGATCTTCTCTGCAGGTGAGGCTTCGTGTCCAGGCCACGGACCCACGGTGCTGGGGGCCTGGGGCCTCGGGGTCGTCGGGGCTGGGGCTGCAGCACAGGTGGGCTTGTCAGGGAACCTCGCTAGGTCTGAGGGCGATGGGCCACGGGGCTGCTGGCTCGGGCCCCTTGTGGGGTTCTGGGGTTACCCTGGCCGGAAGTCCTGGCTGGCGACGTCTGTCAGGCCTCCAGCTGGCACTGCTGTTGGCCGACATGGGGCCTGGGCTTCTCGCAGCGTGGTGCCCACTCCCTAGCAGCCAGAGTGGGTGCTGCCAGGCTCCTGGAACCTGAAAAGTCGTGGGGTCGCTGCACCAGAGTCTGCTGGGCAGAGGTGCCTTGCCAGTCGGCCCCCGCCGCGGGAGGGGCGCTCTGGAGTGGGGCTGCCTGGCCAAAAGGCTCTCTGGAGAGGGGTGCCTCATCTGGGTCAGCTGGCTTGCCCACAGCCCCTGTGGGTTTCCCAGAGCTTTCCTCTGGGCCCCGGTGGCAGGCGACATCTGTCCCTGTCACCTCCTTCCCATGCCCTCACCTGAGGGCAGCTCCTGCTCCTGTCCGCACACCTGCCTCCAGGCTCATGGGAGACCCCCGGACTCGTCCCCAGGCCCCTCCCATCCCCACGTCCCCTCCCGGGAAGCCCGTGGGCTCCCTGTGGCCCACCTGTGACCCGATGCCCTGCTTGGTGCACGTGCCTCGGTCCCAGGTCCTGGTACCGGCCAGGCGCCAGGCATTGCCTGGTGTCCAGGAGCAGAGTCCCGCCCAGGGGAGCACCTTCTCTGTGGCCGACCCTGCCTGCCCCCCAGCTCCTGGCTGATGGTGGTCCTGGCCTCAGGGAGGGGTCCATGCGGGTCCACAGCTGAGTGCTCGGGGCTGCATCCCGGCTAGAGGACGGGTGTGAGTGGCCAGGCAGCATTGAGAGTGGGGAGGGCCCCCTTCCCCCTGGGGCTTTGGGGGCACAACCTCCTGCAGAGGAGGGTCCCAGGCAGCCGGGAGGCCTTGAGCTCTTGGCTGACCAGTGGTGTGACCCAGCGCTCACCCTGCCTCTGCTCAGCCGAGGCGTGCTTAGCACCGAAGGGCTTCGGGGCAGGGGCGCCCGGAACACAGTCCCGCCCCAAGGGGGACCCTCCGCTCACCCACTGAAGACAGGGGGCCAGATAGAGGGGCTGCAGGCCCGTCAGAGGCCCTGTCTGATGACCCCACCCTCGGCGTGTTGCCTTCCCGTGTTCCCCTCTGAGGAGGCCTCCTGACCCATGGAGGGCAGGCCAGCATTGAAGGTGGGGGACACGGGACCACCAGCTGTGGGCCAACCTCCACAGGGTCAGCGCGGGTCTCCCTGCAGTGCTCACCACCGGCAGGACCCCGAGGTGTGGGGAGAGACCGGGGTGCCCTGGAGGGCCTGACAGCCTTCACCCGGATGGGGCTTGCTCGGGGGCATCCAGGCTGGCCTGGTGGAGAAGGCAGCGGGAGGGGCCAGGCAGGAAGGGGCGCTGCGGGCACCTGGGGCTGCCTGCTGCGCTGGGCGCCCCCACCAGGCCGCCCGGCCTGACGCCATAGTGTGGGTGGCCGCCTGTGTCTGTCTCTGAGCTGTCGGCGGGCAGCTGGTTTATGAGCCGAGAGTTGGCTTTAAAAGGAAGGGTCATCTCTGGGAATGCGGCCGGGCGGCAGGGGGCTGGGGCCCAGGGCGGTGGCGGGAGGGTGCGGGGCAGGCTGCAGCGTCCAGCCCTGCCTGCCCAGCCCGTTCAGGTCCGGCGACCAGAGACGAGCCCAGAAGGGTTGTGGGTTCCAGGAGGGCCTGGGAGGCCGGGAGGGAGGTGTGTCCTGGGGACGGAGCGCAGGGCGCGCGGGCACGGTGGCTTGTGGAGCTCAATCTGAAACTGCAGGGGCTGCGCCCCCCGGGCTCAAGCTCCCCTGCTGCCCTCCGCCCCTCGCCCCGCGCCCCAGCCCCAGCCCCGGGCCGGACTCCGCCCCCTCCTTGTGGCAGCCCCCACGGCCACCAGCCCCTCATCGCTGTGTGCGCTGCAGGCAGTTTCTCAACCTCTCTGGATCCCAGAACCCGTGCGGCCTCTCCCCTGCAGTGGGGCCAGGCCCGCTGACCCCCGGGCTGGCCTGCATCCCCTTCACCCTCCTGGGCCAGCCCCTGTCCTCTGTGGCCGGTGAGGTGGGCAGCTCGAGGACTGCAGGGTAGGGCTTGGGGTGCCCCGCCGCGTGGCCGCACCCTCCACTCGGCCGAGCTCCCCACATGCTGCGGTGGGGATGACACTCCCACTGCGTCTTGGCTGGAAGGGTCTTCTAGGTTCCCTTCGGTGGGAAGACATGAAGTTGGCAAGTATTTTCATTTTCTTACTTCTCATTACAAGAAGAAAGTATTTTACCATGGAAAAATCAAAACATACATGAGATAAAGAACTCTCAGAAATCTGTGCTAAAAAGGCAGCCTCACTGAAACACGAGCAAAGGATCTGAATCGTTGTCTCTTCTGAGATGTCTGTGAGGAGTCGATGACCTCCATCAGTCACCAGGGAAATGCACATCCAGCCACCAGACTCCACCTCGCTCCCCCTGGGGGGCGGAGGCAGGCCTTCGGAACCCAGCACGCAGGAGGCCTGCGGGAGGCCTCCAGGCGCCGGCCGCCACGATGAACCGCCTGTCAGCTTCTTCAGTTGCGTGACTCTGACGGCGTCCCCACCTGACCCCGCACTTCCACACCCTGGGGTTCGCCCCGAGAAGGGAAGCCATGTGTCCACACGGGGCTTGTCCTTGGGCCTTCAGAGCCTCACAGCCAAGCAGCAGACGGACCCTCAACTCAGGTTCGTCTCCTGATGGGCCGTCCGTTCACGCGATGGAGCCTTGCTCGGCGGTAACAAGGAATGCGGTGTGATGCACAGGACGACTCAAGGAGCCTGGAAAACGTTTTGCTCCGTGACTGGAGTCAGACACGAAATGGGACCTACTGTGTGATTTGCTTCCTGTGAAATGTCCAGAACAGGTCATCCGCAGAGACGAGCAAAGGAGAGATTGCCAGGAGCTGGGGTGGCAGGGACACCATGCTCATGGGGACCGGGATTTGGAGTAAAATGCCTGGAATTCAGCGGTGGTGGTGGCTGTGGAACATTGTCAACACACTAAGAACACTGGATCTCGCATTTTATTTTTTAAAAAATTATCTTTGCCCAGGAAGTGCATTCTTGACCATTGGAGCACCAGGGAAGTCCCATCTGGGTCGTCTTTTTAAAGGTTTTGGATCTGACACTTCAAAAGGATGAGTATGGTAGTGAGACTGCTGTCTGCTTAGTTGCTCGGTTGTGTCCGACTCTTTGCGACTCGATGGACTGCAGCCCGCCAGGCTCTTCTGTCCATGGGGTTCTTCAGGCAAGAATACTGGAGTGGGTTGCCATGCCCGCCTTCAGGGGATCTTCCCGACCCAGGGATCAAACCTGGGTCTCCCACCTGGCAGGTGGGTTCTTTACCACCACAAGCCTGGTAGTGAGACAGTGTCTCCATAAAAAATAGCACTAAGAGCTCAGAGAAAATAGGACATAGCCAGACCCACGCGGGAGACCAGCCTGCTGGCAGCCCCCAGACCAGAGCTTTTCTCTTCAGCTAAAATGTGGCGGGTGCACGGAGCCCACGTGTCCACCTGGGGTGCCGAGTCCGGGGGTCCCACCAGGGCTGGCGTGCGTGAGCAGCTGGTGAACGGGGAACACGGGCTGATGGCGCTGTCCCCGGGACGTGGCGCCTCTGCGGCCTGGGTGCCCCTTGGAAGGGTGGGGAGCCCCGCGGGCAGCGCTGAGGCTGGGGTCACGGGCCCGAGGCCAGCGGCAGGAAGGCGGCCCTGGGGGCCAGGGGCCGGCCTGGGGGGCTTCAGATGTGGATCTACTTTGCAGGGGGTGAGAGTCACAGCAACAGGCAGGCCTGGGGCGTGGCATGGCCTGCTTTATGGGGTTTTTACATTTTCGTTTAATTGAGGGGAAATTCACCTGATATCTGATTAACCGTTTTATTTGCTGTTTGACCTCACCACGGGGTGTGTGTGATTGAGCTCCCCGACCAGGGATCACACCTGGGCCCTGCACTGGGAGCTCGGCGTCTCGGTCACTGAACCCCGAGGGAAGCCCCGGTTAAGCGTCTAGAGTGTGCGATTCGGCGGCATTGGTCCAGCCGCAGTGTTGCACAGCCACCGTGCAGGCCTGCTAAGCTATCACTGCCAGCCCCGGGGCCCCCCGCTCGTCCTCCTGTCTCTACGGCCCTGCCTGGGAATGGACTCACACTTGAGTCTGCATCCCTCACGGACATGTTGTTTCGGCAGGCGTGGTCCCAGCCCCATCAGAGCTCCTGCCTCTGGAGGCCAGATGACCTTCTGTTGTGCAGGTGGCCCACCTCTTGCTCTTCCACTCACTGTCTCTTTCTGTCTTGTCATTTCCGCCTTTTGGTGACTGCTCAAGTGTTCCTTTGCGTTGACTTGTGCTCCTGTGACCGACCGTCCCTGGGAACAACGGGTCTGGGGCCTGCTTTCCCCACCTGTGCCGCTCCTGCCAGACCAGGACCAGGCCCCCAGGGGCTGTCCTCTCACAGGTGATGCCAGTGCCCTCTTAGGTCTTTCCCATCACAGGTACCAGGCTGCAGGGTTACCTGGATCCGTACATTGCCACTTTGAATTTTCAGCCTAATAGACTGTCCTTTACATCGTGTTGTAATTTACGCTTTTTTGACTTATCAGTGAGGGTTAGCATTTCTCACATGTCTAGTGTATTCAGTTCAGTTCAGTCACTCAGTTGTGTCCAACTCTTTGCAACCCCATGGACTGCAGCACGCCAGGCCTCCTTGTCCATCACCAACTCCCGGAGCTTGCTCAAACTCATGTCCATTAAGCCGGTGATGCCATCCAGCCGTCTCATCCTCTCTTGTCCCCTTCTGCCTTCAGTCTTTCCCAGCATCAGAGTCTTTTCCAATCAGTCAGCTCTTTGCATCAGGTAGCCAAACCTACTGTTGGAGCCTTCAGCTTCAGCATCAGTCCTTCCAATGAATTTTCAGGACTGATCTCCTTTAGGATGGACTCTTTGGCTCTCCTTGCAGTCCAAGGGACTCTCAAGAGTCTTCTCCAACACCACAGTTCAAAAGCATCACTTCTTTGGCGCTCAGCTTTTTTTATAGTCCAACTCTCACATTCATACATGACCACTGGAAAAACCATAACTTTGACCAAATGTACCTTTGTTGGCAAAGTAACTTCTCTGGTTTTATATTAATATGCTGTCTAAGTTGGTCATAGCTTTTCTTCCAAGGAGCAAGTGTCTTTTAATTTAACGGCTGCAGTCACCATCTTCAGTGATTTCTGAGCCCAAGAAAATAGTTTCTCACTGTTTCCATTGTTTTCGCATCTATTTGCCATGAAGTGATGGGACCAGATGCCATGATCTTAGTTTTCTGAATGCTGAGTTTTAAGCCAACTTTTTCACTCTCCTCTTTCACTTTCATCAAGAGGCTCTTCAGTTCTTTGCTTTCTGCCATAAGGAGGGTGTCATCTCCATATCTGGGGTTATTGAGATTTCTCCCGGCAATCTTGATTCCAGCTTGTTCTTCATCCAGCCCGGCATTTCACAAGATGTACTCTGCCTATAAGTTAAGTAAGCAGGCTGGTAATACATAACCTTGACATACTCCTTTCCCAATTTGGAACCAGTCTGTTGTTCCATGTACAGTTCTAACTGTTGCTTCTTGACCTGCATACACATTTCTCAGTGGCCACAGGACTGGAAAAGGTCAGTTTTCATTCCAATCCCAAAGAAAGGCAATGCCAAAGAATGTTCAAACTACCAAATAATTGCACTCATCTCACACGCTAGCAAAGTAATGCTCAAAATTCTCCAAGCCAGGCTTTAGCAATACGTGAACCGTGAACTTCCAGATGTTCAAGCTGGTTTTAGAAAAGGCAGAGGAACCAGAGATCAAATTGACAACATCTATTGGATCATTGAAAAAGCAAGAGAGTTTCAGAAAAATATCTACTTCTGCTTTATTGACTATGTTTAGTGTATTATTAGTGTTTTTTATTTTGTGAATTAGCTATTCATAATTTGTCCTCCTGTTTCTTTAGAAAGTGTTGAAAGTGAAAATGTTAGTTGCTCAGTCGTGTCTGACTCTTTGGGACTCCATGGACTGTAGACTGCCAGCCTCCTCTGTTTGGATCTCTCAGACAAGAATACTGGAGTGGGTAGCCATTCCCGTCTCCAGGGGATCTGTTCTTTTTTTTTTCATCGATGTACAGAATCTCTTATGTGTTAAGGAGCTTTTTATGACCGACAGGCATTCGTCCCCAGGTTGTCACGCATCTGTCCTTCTCCCTAGGAGGCTCCATCTGCCCTTAGCAGCTTGGTGCCTGGGGACGGCCCTCCCTCCTGGGCCTCAGCTCGCTTCTGCAGAGAGCGCCCTGCTCTGTTCAGGGGCAGCCAGGCTGCAGCAGGTGCAGCGTGGAGCAGCGCGCTGTCCAGTGCTCCTGGTCCCTGAGCCCCTGGGACCCACTCAGGTCCCTCGTTGCCAAACTGCTTTTCTGCTCCGTCGCTTTCTCCAGCAGAGGTGGGCTGGGCCCTCCCAGGCTCTGGCCCAGGTGTGCAGCAGAAGCTTAGGACATCCAAGAATGGCCCACGGGGCTGGCAGAGCTGACCTGAGCAGTGATGGCCAGGACTTGCACGGCAAGCAGGTGGTCGAGCTCCCTGTTTGACTGGGAGCTGGTGGTCAAGGCTAGCCCTGGGTGCTGACCGCAGTCACTTTCGGGGTGGCGGGCGCGTGGCTCTGGGAGGCTCAGCCCTTCACGTGACCCTGTGGCCTGGCCTTAAGCGGGGTCTTGGTGGCCTTTGGTGACCCGCATCCCTCTCTGTCCCTGCAGGCATCACGTGGGGCAAAGTCGTGTCCCTGTATTCGGTGGCTGCGGGGCTGGCCGTGGACTGTGTGCGGCAGGCCCAGCCCGCCCTGGTGCACGCCCTCGTCGACTGTCTCGGGGAGTTTGTGCGGAAGACACTGGCAACCTGGCTGAGGAGGCGTGGCGGATGGGTGAGGGCGCGCGAGGGGCCGGGCATGGGCCGGTTGAGCGCCTGGGCTCCCATGGCGGGAGTGGCGGGCTGGAGGGGAGGGGGTCCCGGCTGGAGCTGCAGCCCAAGGCTGACCTGTCCCCGGTGCTCCCGGGGCGTGCCCACCCCCCAGAGCTAAGCCTGCTGCCCGCCCACGGCGGGGTCAGAGCCACATCCCCACTCTGTCTCTGGATCCCCCATCACCTGCCCAGTGCTGGCCCGGCCTGGGGCTGCTGGGAGCGGTGCCTTCTTTGTAGAGTTGGTGGTGGCAGAGCTGTGTGCAGCCCACCAGCCGCGGGGAGCCACGGTGGAGGCGGGGGAGGCAGGGGCAGGGAGGGTCTGACTGCCTGACTCACGGCAGGCAGGACACGGGCAGCTCTGTCCCCTGCCCGTCCTGTCCTCGGGCCTGGCGGGGCTGGGCGCCAGGGCAGCCAGGACGCTGACTGACAGGGTGGCCAGAGGTCAGGCTCCGGGGCTGCGCTCCTTAGCAGGACTAGAGAGAAACAGGGAAGTCAGGAGTGGCTGCCCGCTGGGCTCCTGTTGTGGGGTCACCCCCATGGCATCTGCAGGGGGACAGGGGTGTGTCCTGCTCGGGAGCATCCTGCCTCTTCACGTCCGACCTTGGGCCTTCGTCCAGCTGGACCGCAGGCACCTCCTCAAGCAGCGCAGCCGCCTCAGGCTGGGCGGGCCTGCGCACCCCGCTCCGCGCTCTGACTGTGCCCTCTCCCCTCTCAGACAGACGTGCTCAAGTGTGTGGTCAGCACCGACCCCGGCCTCCGCTCCCACTGGCTGGTGGCCGCGCTCTGCAGCTTTGGTCGCTTCCTGAAGGCTGCCTTCTTCATGCTGTTGCCGGAGAGATGAGATGCTGGCTTGGGCAGGGGCCCAGGGGGCCCTCCGCCCCACCCCAGCCGGGAAGACCCTTGGAGCCGCCCCCGAGTGGACGGTGGAGGCCCTGTCCTGAGCCCCTCCTGCAGAACCCAGGCCCTCTGGACGGAGGCGTGAGGGTCTCCCCCCGGCCTGAGCTGGGCTTCAGTACTGACCCTTGCGCCCAGCTCCCCCCAGAAGCCCTGCCCACCCCCTTCTTCCTGGGCCAGAAGGCCACGCCGTGTCCTGGCCCTGAAGCAGGAAGTGGGAGCCATGTCCATGTCGGGACCGTGTCAGGACCGGAGCTGGCCTTGGTCCTCAGGGAGGGGCCGTGGACGTTCAGCCTGGAGGCGCCTCTGGCTTGGCCGAAGCTGGAGGCGCCGTGGGGCTGGCTGACCCTGCACACCGAGTGTGAGTCCGCTGTGATGGCTCCTGATCCACCTCTGGGGGTCAGATGTGTGCCCCACATGTGTGGCAGGGTCCCCGTGTGGCAGGGAGCCGTGGGCGCGCGAGCCCGTGGATGAGGACGATGGTGTGTGTCTGACCCCAATAAAGTGCGGTGGCCGTGGAGGGTGCCCATCTGCCTGCCTGCACCCTCCTCCTGCGATGGGCGGCGGCGGCGGCAGCGGCGGCCCGGCCGTGATGGATCAGCAGGGGCAGAGCCGCCCCGGGGCCCCTCTCAGGGAGGCTGCCTTACACCGCCCTGTGCCTCGCCGGGCTCACGCACACACGCACGTGCACACACTGGCACTCGCGTGTGCATGGCCCTGCCCTTCATGGTGGTCAGCTCCCCCCCCCTCCCGCCCACGCCTCCCCACAATCTCCCACTGCAGTGCCCTCCGGCCGTGATGGGGGCGGCCCCTGGAGCAGCCCCCCGCGGCCCGGCCGCAGGCACACGGCTGGACGTGGCCTCTCTGCCCTGGTTCCCTTTCTGTACAAGGCAGGGGGCACCAGATGGCCACATTGGCCGCCTGGCCCTGCCTCCTGCGGGAAGAGCCCAGATGCCAGCTTGTGTGCACACGGGGCGGCCCCGCGCCTCCCTCGGGGCCCATCTCCCAGCCCCAGGCCCCCCAGGCCCACTCTCCTCAGCTTCCTTCCTGGGGAGCGGGCAGGGGCCAGCACCACCTTCCAGCTGTGCCTGCTCCATTTGCAGGGAGGGGCATCCCAGGGGCGCCCGAGGCGGGAAGTCTGGGGGTGGGAGGGTGCGGGGAAGAGGAAGGGTCCCCCTGCGCCCTGCTTCCGGTCACTGGGATCAGCCCCCTGGGACATTTCCAGCACCAGGAGCTGGTGCCACAGACACAGAGGCAGAAAAGCAGCAGGTTTCAGGGCCCCGCGGGGAGACTGGGCGTGGGGGGCGCGCTGGGCAGGAGATACAGGGGGGACGCGCCCTTTCCAGCATCACAGAAGGTGACTTTGTGAGGGAAAGATGGAGAAGAAATGTGAATCCCGTGTGAGGCAAACTGAAGCTTCCCCAAGGACACCTTAGACTTGGTCAGATGGAGAAAACCCCTTGTTCTAGAAGAAACCAGTCTCGTAAAGCCATCTCTCTACAAGTAACTGAGTTTATAACTGTAACACAATTGTCACGGAACTGCTTGGTCACTCAGACGGTGGGGACTCCGCCTGTGATGTGGGAGACGCGGGCTGGATCCCTGGGTCAGGAGGGTCCCCTGGAGGAGGCATGGCAACCCACTCCAGTGTTCTTGCCTGGAGAATCCACGGACAGGGGAGCCTGGCGGGATACACAGTTCATGTGCCCACAAAAGAGTGGGACATGGCTGAGGAAAGCATCTTCCTCTTAAGAAAGTCCTAGAGTATGTTTCCCCCTCTGGGTCTAAACAAGCTAATTATAAAGTTCACATGAGGAGGGGAGGGCAAAACCAGCCAAGAGAACCTTTCCAAGAAGAGAGACGAGGAAGGTCTGGACCTCCCTGCCTCTGGGTCTCCCCTCAGACCACCAGGCCCCGGCCACGCGCAGACGCGCAGACGCGCAGGCACACGGGGCCCACAGAGACAGACCCTGGAGCCTGGAGAACCGGGTCCTGACGAGGTGAGGGAGATGCGGTCGTCAGCAAAGGTGACGAGCAGTCAGCGCGCGGAAAAAGACCACATCGAACCCGGGCGTCACACAGACGTGAGACAAGTCACAAATGGGGCCACGAGCAGCCCCCACTCACTGCAGAGCAGGGAGCCTCTGCAACAAGGAGACGAAGGGCAGCCGTGAAACAACACAGGAGTTCAAAAAATAATAAATCATAAAACCCAGGAACGAGAAAAGACAATATACTTGATGGGGAAAAGTGTTTATGACATTTATATATGTGCTTATAACATATCAATATACTTGATGAGGAAACGTGTTTATGACATTTATATATATGTTTATAACATATATATCAATATACTTGATGGGAAAAGGTGTTTATAACATTTAGTGTTTTTAGAAGTCGCTGCAGCATGAGGCAGGAAGCAGAGGGTGGTGTGTGGGGCGGGCAGGGGGGTGACTAGGGGCCATGGGGCTTCTTCCTGGGGTGATAGGCTGTCTGGAAGGAGACTGAGGTGGTGGCTGCACACACGCAAATGTACAAAGTGCGTCTCAGCCGTACACATGGGGACGCCGTGGAATAGTGAACTTCATGTTGTAACCGTGCATTTCACCTCCATGAAAGGCTGTAGTTGAAAATCAGGAAGATTATAATTCAAAAGAACTTACTCAGCCTCAAAAGTCAAGAAGGAAAGACAAAGCTGAAATGCAGACCCGGACTGCCCCAGGATCCCAGGACCCCAGTCCTCAACTACCAGGTTGGCTGCATCCAGATCTGACCACAGACTTGCTCGGGGCAAGACACCTCACACTTGCTGTGGGAGGCAAAACAGCACAGTGCCCATGGGGAAGGCAACACCTGGGCAAGTCCCGCGTGCGTTTGCCCTCGGACTGGTAATCCTGCTTTGAGAAATGTGTCCTAAAGATACACTGGCAGAAGCCCAAAATGACATGTACGTAGTTATTCATTATGACAATATTTGATTAGCAAAAGACTGGAAACAGCCCAGAGGCCCAGCATCAGGGCATCTGCTGATAGACCGTGGCAGGGCTGCCAGGTTGGGGCTCTGCACGCACGTGAAGCAAAACGAACCTGGTTTTACAGGGTTTCTTTAATTTCTTTATCTGGCTGCGCTGGGTCCTCGCTGTGGCCGGGCTTCGATCTTCCTGGTGGCATGTGGACTCTTTAGTTGCAACATTCAGATTCTCACTTGCAGCATGTGAAGTCTAGTTCCCTGACCAGGGACGGAACCCAGGCCCTCCATCCTGGGAGTGCAGAGTCCCAGCCCCTTGGCCACCCGGGAAGTCCATTTTACACTATTGACAACAGGGTCACATCAGTGATTTGCAAAAGCAAAGCTAACTTAAGAGAAACAATCAATTGTAGAAATAAATAAATGAGTTTGTATACTGAGTTGGTGACATAAGCACCTGGAGAAATTAGTTATTCCAACTATAATATTTTTTAACATTATATACTCGGTGTGAAAGCTGTAAAAATAGTAGCAGAAAACTGACTTCAATTAGTAGTCTTATCGACAATATGACTATACTGAGTTAATCATGTGTGTCCTGGGGTGGTTTAGTCGCCCAGTCATGTCCGACTCTGTGGCCCCGCGCACTGCACCCCCAGGCTCTCGTCCTTAGTACTACTCACCCAGTCTTGTCTAACTCTTTGCAACATCATGGAGTCTAGCCTGCCAGGCTCTTCTGTCCATAGAATTTTTCAAGCAAAAATACTGGAGCTGGTTGCCATCTCTTTCTGTGCGGGATCTTCCCCACTCAGGCATTAACCTGGGTCTCCTGTGTCTCCTGCATTGGCAGGTGGATTCTTTACCACTGAGCTATCAGAAAGTCCTGTGTATCCTGTAGGAGAAAGCAAATAATGATAAACAAGATTTTTTTCTTAAAAGAGGTGAAATGAAAGAATTTAAGTAAGAAATTTTATAATCTAAGAATCAGAATTGGAAATATCAGTGTGGGTGCACAATTTTTTTTCCTTTCTTAAAGAATACACGTATCCCATGCTGAAGCACTAGGGAGTGAAGGGCCGTGTGATGGCAAATAGCTCAGTGTAAATACCTGGGAGCGCTGTAAAGGGAGCCGGTGCTGCTCGAGCCTCTCACTCCCACCCCTGCTGGAGAAGAGGCGGGTGCTGGGGCAGAAAGTGGGCACAGAGGCCATCAGGGCAGGAAGTGGGCAGAGGCCATCAGGGTCTCTGTCCGGCTAACTAGGGTCACGTGGGCACCTCCATCTGCCACAGAAAGACTGGACTTGACTAGATTGCATCACACTTACCAGGAGTGTTGGGTTTCTAGCAGAAGCAGGATGGGTGGAGGGAGGCGTGGTGTGAGGAGGCTGGTCGCGGGCCAGCCCTGGTGTCCCTGCACGCTTGCTTTAACACTGCACACCAGAGGGAAGAGACGAGCCTTCTGCTGGCTCCGGTGTGAACTGTTTCAGAGGAATCCAACCTGAGCCTAACTGAATGGAGGGAAGATTTTCTAAGAGAATTCTGCCACTGAACGCAGACGTGGGGACAGGGTTAGGAGACGACCCTTGGGCAGCTCTGCTGAGGGGCTGGTCCAGGCGGGTGGGGTGGGAGAAACAGAATGAAGCGGGCAGGCTGCCTCCGTCTGTGCGGTAGTATCAACCCTGAGGCGGGTGGGCTCTGCATGGGTAAACCGTGGGCAGCCCTTGGGAAGGGTGATCCAGCCTCCAGGCTGCAGAAAACAGGGCAGAGGAACAAGGAGGGGGCTGGGAGTGCCCTCCGGTTTCCCAGCCTGTCAGCCGCATGGGTGGGGTGCAGAGAAAAAGACCACCAGAGGACTGTGTGGGTTATCCGCTTCTGTCCCTGTTTTATGCCCCACCTTCCCTGCTCTGCTCTGGGGTGCTCACCCCTCCCGCACCCAGCTGTGAGAAGGGAGGAGCCTGGGGTGAAGGAGGGAGGAACTTG